ATATTTGCAAATGATATATCCAATAAATGATATATCTGATATATATCAAATATGTCCAATAAATCAATACATAAAGAACTGATACTACTCAATATAAAAAAATAATCCAATTAAAAAATGGGCAGAAGACATGAACAGACATTTCTCCAAAGAAGACATACAGATGGCCAACTGACACATGAAAAGATGCTCAACATCACTCATCATCAGGGAAATACAAATCAAAACTACAATGAGATATCACCTCATTCCTGTCAGAATGGCTAAAATCAACAACAAAAGAAATAACAAGTGTTGGCAAGGATGTGGAAAAAAAGAAACCCTCATGCACAGCTGGTAGGAATGCAAACTAGTGCAGTCACTGTGGGAAACTGTATGGAGGTTCCTCAAAAAATTAAAAATAGAGCTACGTTATGATCCAGGAATCGCACTGGGTATTTACCCCCAAAATACAAAAACACTAATTCATGCACCCCTATGTTTATTGCAGTATTGTTTACAATAGCCAAACTATGGAAGCAGCTCAAGTGTCCATTGATAGTTGAACGGATAAAAGTGACACAGACACACACACACACACACACACACACTGGAATATTAGTCAGCCAAGAAAAAGAATAAAATCTTAGCATTTGCAATGACATAAATGGAGCTAGACTGTATAATGCTGAACAAAATAAGTCAGTTAGAGAAAGACAAATACCATATGATTTCACTCATATGTGGAATTCAAGAAACAAACAAATGAGCAAAGGAAAAAACAAGAGAAGAGAGGCAAACCAAGAAACAGACTCTTAACTATAGAGAACAAACTGATGGTTACCAGAGGGGAGATGGGTGTGGGATGGGGGAAAGAGGTGATGGGGATTAAAGAGTACGCTTATCATGATGAAAAAAATGATAAAAAAATAAGAACTGTAAAAAAAAAAAATTTGTTGCCAATATTTTAAAATCAGTAAATGTTTACATAAAAACACCAATTTCTAGCATTGATTGAAAGATCAAGTAACACTGGACCCACAGTATCATAAATCAAGAAGGAGCCAGAGCTGGGAAGCAGCTGCCATCTTTGGAGAGAACCCATTGGCTACTTTACCCATTTGCTGTTGCGGCCTCTATGAGTGTCAGTCTTGCACTAAGGGGCCAAACCTGGGAGACTGGGGAGAATGTCTTTAATCGGTGTAAAAAACCCAGGTAAACGGATGTTTTCTTACGTCAGAGGAAAATAATTTGTTCCATTTTTTACATGATAAGTTTGAGGTGTCCACAGTCTTTATTGGATGCCTCTTGGAGATAGCTTGAAATATTAGTCTGAATAACCCATTTTGAAACCTGTAATAAATTAAAGGAGCTAGGTAATGGCCATCAATGGTTGCTGACATCGCCCCTGGGAGACAACGAGACATATGCCTTCTGATGGGAATATATAATACCACCTATAAAACAGTCTTGCAAAAGGAAAAAAAATCTCCTGAGCCTTTAAATCTAACTATCAGTTTATAGAATATACAAAAGATAGAAGAACATATAGAAGAAATACCTCAAATATGCAATCAGCAAAGTCCAGGCTATGAGAAACTCTAGGAAACAAATGATCTAGTTTCTCAGAAACAAAAAGTTGCAAGAAAATAAGGAGGGGTGTAGGGGAACCAGTAGATTACAGAGGCTTGAGAGACACATTAACTAATTGCAATATACAGATTTCATTGATTTCTATTTAAACTACTATTTAAAAATAAAGAAATATTTTGCTCCCAGGATGATGGAGTTGATGTACTTTTCCCAATTCTTCTTGCCAAGTACAACTAAAATCCTTGGAAATTATAGAAACACAAACATAAGAAGACCCTGAAAAGTGGAGAGAAGAAGGCAGACCAGGGAGGGACCTTGGGACTCACATGGTGGTGGGTCTGCCTAGGTGTTCTTTTTGCATCACAAATCTCAGACTTGGAGTTGAAGAAGCCAATAGTCCAAAATACCAACGGGTGCAGACAAAATCCCCCAAACCTAAAAATCCAAGATAAACATTCTGTCTCTAGCCAAAGGGCCAGGAAAAGGGAAGCGTAGCAAGACAGAAAAGTTTTAGACAATGACTGCTTTACTCCAGCCTAGCATCAGAGAAATAACTTATGCCCTCACGCTGATACCAGTAAAGGCCAAAAAAGGAGTCTAGACTTAGTGAGGCTACAATGAGACGTCCCAACACCCCCTCTGGGGTGGTGTCAGAGAAGGCCAAGTAGGGAGCTGGGACTTTCATCCACTGGTTGGTAAAAAGGCCCCCATAGCCTGTGGTTTCAGTGGATGCCATGTGAGGAGCCTGAACTCTACCTCCATCAGGAAGTCATGACGTATCTCCCCCCATCCCCCAGAGTTGGCGTCAAAGGAGGCCTAGTGGAGAGCGAGGGATTTCACCATTGCCCACTAATAACAAGGCCACAACCCACCAAGGTGTCAGTAGAGATCACATTGGGAGATGGAAACCCCATCCCTTCCCAGAAATAAAGAGGGGCCCTTCTTCACCTTGAGTGTCAATGGACATCAAGTGAAAAACCTGGACTTCTACCTCAGCCTCAGAGTAATGCGACTGTGCCCACCCCTATCCTTCTTCCCCTCTTGTGGTGTCAGAGAAAGCCAGTTAAAATAGATGGTTTAAATGAAATAGATCCAGAGTCTTATAATGTAACACCAAAAGTATCTAAATTTCAATCTAAAATCCCTTATCATACCAGGATCTGAAACTGAATGTTAAAATCAATAGATGCAAAAGCCAAGATGACAGAAATGCTAGAATAATCTGATAAAAATTTTAAAGCAGTCATGATGAAACTACTTCAACACGCAATAACAAACATGTTTGAAACAAATGAAAAATAGAAAACCTCAGCAAGAAATAGAGAGTCTCAGCAGAAAAATAAAATATATAAAGAACGAATTGGAAATTTTTGGAGCTAAAAAACACATTAACTCAAATAAAAAGCTCAGTGGGTGGGCTCAACAGCAGAGGGATGGAAGAGAGAAAAGAATCAGTGGGCTATAATAATAAAACCACTTGATCAGAACAAGAAAGAGAATATAGAATGGAAAAAAAGAAGGGACTCTCAGGGACCTGTATTACTATAATAAAAACCCTAATGTTTGTGTCATTGGAGTTCCAGAGGAGAGTAGAATAAGGGCAGGACTAAAAAGAGTGCTCAAAGAAATAATGGCTGAAAACTTTCCAAATTTAGCAAGAGGCATAAACCCACAGATTAAAGAAGTTAACCCTAAAGAGGATAAATCCAAATAAATGATGCCAAAATACATGATAAATAAATGTCTGAAGACTAAAGACAAAGAAAAAAAATCTTGAAATCAGCCAGAGATAAACAATACCTTAATCATAAAGAAAAACAATCCAAAGTATAGAGGATTTCTCATCAGAAATCATGGATGCCAGAAGGAAGTGGCACAATATTTTTTAAGTCAACCACAAATTCTAATACCAGCAAAAATATTCTTCATTGAATAAAGAGGAAATCCAGGCATTCACAGATGAAAGAACATTTAGAAAATATTTCACTAACAGACATATCATAAGAGAATGGCTAAAGGAAGATCTTTATATAGAAAAGAAATGAAGGAACTTTAGAACATCAGGAAGGAATAAAGAATATAGTAAGCAAAAATATGAGTAAATACAATAGAATTTCCTTCTCCTCTTGAGTTTTCTAAATTTGACAGTTGAAACATAAACTATAACCCTCTCTAATGTGATTCTAGATGAATGGAAAGGAAATGTTTTTTGTTTTTTTTTTTTTTTTAATTTTTTTTTTTTCAACGTTTATTTATTTTTGGGACAGAGAGAGACAGAGCATGAACGGGGGAAGGTCAGAGAGAGGGAGACACAGAATCGGAAACAGGCTCCAGGCTCTGAGCCATCAGCCCAGAGCCCGACGCGGGGCTCGAACTCACGGACCGCGAGATCGTGACCTGGCTGAAGTCGGACGCTTAACCGACTGCGCCACCCAGGCGCCCCGGAAAGGAAATGTTTAAAACAATTATAGAGAAAGGTAAAGAAATGGAATGGGAGGTAAGATTTCTATATTTCACCTAAATTGGTAAAATAATGATGCAGGTAGACTGTGACGTTATATATATAATGTAATATCTAAAGCAACCACTAAAAGAGCTATACCAAGATGTACGCAAAGCTGCTAGATAAATAAATAGGGAATTATAAGAAGCATTTAAGCAAACCACAGGAAGTCAGGAAAAAGGAAACTGAAATAAAAAAAAATAGATGTAAGAAACAGGAAACAAAAAAAAAAAACAAAGTGGTGGACTTAAGCTTTACATTATCAATAATTACATTAGATATAAATGGTCTAAATACACCAATTAAGAGACATAATGACAGAATGGATTATAAAACATGACCCAACTAGGTACTGTCTATAAGAAATTCAGTTTAAATATAATGACATAGGTAGGTTGAAAGTAAAAAGATGGAAAAAGGCATAAGCAAAGAATCAAAGGAAAGCAGTAATGGCTGTATTAATATCAGATAAAATAAACAAAAAAGTCACCAGACACAGAGAAGGACATCATATAATGATAAAAATGGCAATTGAGTAGGAAGAAATAGCAATCCTAAATGTGTATGCACTAAACACAGAACTGAATAATATATGAAGCTCAAACTGATAGAACTGAAAGGAGAAATGGACACACCTGCAATTAAAATTGGAGACTTCAACACCTCTCTCTCAACAACTGATAGAAGAGCTAGACAGAAAATCAGCAAGGGTTTAGAAAAACTCAACATCACCATCAACCAATAGGATCTAATTGACATTTCACCTGACAGCAAGAGAATGTTCTTTTCAAACGCTTGTGAAACATATGCCAAGATAGACCATATTCTGGTTATTTTTAAATGTATCCAAGATTTGCTTTAATCAGGTAGTATAAGACATGCAGACTTGGAAATGACTGTTGTGAAGGAAAAAGTGTTAACTCACAGTTCTCTGGAAGCAGGGGGCACAGCATACCATGAAGGGCCACATGGGGGAAGCACCAGAGTCAGCAGGAGACAGCAAGGGTGTGAAGAAATATGGGCAAAACTCTTCACTGTTGTTTCTGTGGGAAAGACAAGGAAGGGTAAACAGTCTTAGGATTGGCTGGCTTGAAAAATTTCAGCCTGTTGTCTGGTATCTGGCCCTGGGGTGATTAGGCAGGTGGATAGTGGCCCAGAATGTGAGGGTGCTTTGAAAGCCTGGTAAAAAATGTGGCTGAGGCTATGAGTTTTGGATTGGTTTGTTTGCATATGAAAGATACACTCATGGGGGAGTTGTTTGCTATCTTTGGGAATTAGCTAGCCATGGGAGGGGCAACTTCCTCAGGGTTGGCAAGACTACAGATGTGAAAAACATTAGAATAAAAAGATATTCTTAGTAAATGAGCCATAAAACAAACCTCAATGCATTTAAAGTAGTTGAAATAATAAAGAGCATGTTCTCTGATCACAGTGGAATCAAAGTAGAATCAATGACAGAAAGATAACAAGAAAATCTCCAAACACTTGGAAACTAAAACACACTTCTAAATAAACCATCATGACTCGATATGGAAAACCCAAAAGATTTCACCAAAAAACTGCTAGAACTGATCTATGAATTCAGCAAAGTTGCAGGATATAAAAATCAATGCATAGAAATCAATTGCATTCCTATACACCAATAATGAAGCAACAGAAAGAGAAATCAAGGAATTGATCCCATTTACAATTGTACCAAAAACCATAAAATACCTAGGAATAAATCTAACCAAAGAGGAAAAATCTATACACTGAAAACTATAGAAAGCTTATGAAAGAAATTGAAGAAGACACAAAAAAAGGGAAAAATATTCCATGCTGCTGGATAGAAAAAACAAATATTGTTAAAATGTCGATACTACCCAAAGCAATCTACATATTCAATGCAATCCCTATCAAAGTAACACCAACATTCTTCACAGAGCTAGAACAAACAATCCTAAAATTTGTATTGAACCAGAAAAGACCCCGAATAGCCAAAGCAATCTTGAAAAAGAAAACCAAAGCTGGAGGCATCACAATCCTGGACTTCAAGATGTATTACAAAGCTGTCATCATCAAGACAGTATGGTACCGGCACAAAAACAGACACTCAGATCAATGGAACAGAATAGAGAACCCAGAAATGGACCCACAAATGTATGGCCAACTAATCTTTGACAAAACAGGAAAGAAGAGCCAATGGGATAAAGACAGTCTCTTCATCAAGTGGTGCTGGGAAAACTGGACAGCGACATGCAGAAAAATGAGCCCGGACCACTTTCTTACATCACACACAAAAATAAACTCAAAATGGATGAAAGGTCTAAATGTAAGATAGGAAGCCATCAAAATCCTCGAGGAGAAAGCAGGCAAAAAGGGACCTCATCAAGATAAAAATCTTCTGCATAGCAAAGGAAACCATCAGCAAAACTAAAAGGCAACCAACAGAATTGGAGAAGATATTTGCAAATGACATATTAGATAAAAGGTTAGTATTCAAAATCTATAAAGAACTTATCGAATGCAACACCCAAAAAACAAATAATCCAGTGAAGAAATGGGCAAAAGACATGAATAGATACTTCTCCAAAGAAGACATCTAGATGGCCAAGCAACACATGAAAGCATGTTCCATATCACTCATCATCAGGGAAATACAAATCAAAACCACAATGAGATACCACCTCACACCTGTTAATGGCTAACATTAACAACTCAGGCAACAGCAGATGTTGGCGAGGATGCAGAGAAAGAGGATCTCTTTTGAACTGCTGGTCGGAATGCAAACTGGTGCAGCCACTCTGGAAAACAGAGTGCAATTGTAAATGGGATAGATTCCTTGATTTCTGTTTCTGTTACTTCATTACTGGTCTATAGGATACAACTGATTTCTGTGCATTGATTTTATATCCTGCAACTTTGCTGAATTCATGGATCAGTTCTAGCAGTTTGTTTTCCAGGTTTTGAGGTTTCTCAAAAAATTAAAAATAGAACCACCCTATGACCCAGCAATTGCACTATTAGGTATTTATCCAAGAGATACAGGTATGCTGTTTTGAAGGGGCACATGCACCCCAATGTTTATAGCAGCAATATTAACAATAGCCAAAGTATGGAAAGAGCCCAAATGTCCATTGATGGATGAATGGATAAAGATGTGGTGCACACACACACACACACACACACACACACACACACACACACAATATGGAGTATTACTTGGCAATCAAAAAGAATGAAATCTTGCCATTTGCACTACATGGATGGAACTAGAGGGTATTATGCTAAGTGATATTAGTCAGTCAGAGAAAGACAAATATCATATGACTTCACTCATATGAGGACTTTAAGATACAAAACAAATGAACATAAGGGAAAGGAAATAAAAATAATATAAAAACATGGAGGGGGACAAAACATAAGAGACTCTTAAATATGGAGAACAAACAGAGGGTTACTGGAGGGGTTGTGGGGGGGGGGATGGGCTAAATGAGTAAGGGGCACTAAGGAATCTACTCCTGAAATCATTGTTGCACTATATGCTAACTAACTTGGATGTAAATTAAAAAAATAAATTAAATAAAAATTTAGTGTTAAAATTAAAAAAATAAACCATCACGGGTCAATACATTGTATTGAATGAAAATAAAAATAAAGCCTATCTTAAATTCCACATATGAGTAAAATCATATGGTATTTATCTTTCTCTGACTTATTTCACTTAGCATTATAACCTCTAGATCCATCCATGTGTTTGCAGTGTCAAGACTTCACTATTTTTTATGGTCTAGCAATATTCCATTGTGTGTGTATACACACACACACACACACACACACACACACACACATTCTATTGTGAGATATATATCACATCTTTATCCATTCATCTATTGATGGGCACTTGGGTTGCTTCCACATCTTGGCTATTGTAAATAATCTTAGAGATAGGTGTGCATATATCTTTTCCAATTAGTATTTTCATATTGCTTGGGTAAATCCCCAGAGTGGTATTAGTGGATCATGATTCTATTTTTAATTTTTTTTGAGGAACATCCATACTGTTTTCCACAGTGTTTGCACCAGTTTGCAGTATACCTGAAACTATTGTACACTGTATGTTAATTATACTGGAATTTAAAAAAAAAAAAGGAGAGAAAAAAACATTGCAACTTCAAAAAAAAAAGAATACTCAAAACTCAATAAAAAGACAATGTCATTAAAAATACATATTGGGGTACCTGGGTGGCTTAGTTGGTTAAGTATCTGATTCTTGATTTTGGCTCAGGTCATGACCTCACAGTTGTGAGACTGAGCCCCATTCTGGGCTCCATACTGAGCATGGAGCCTGCTTGGGATTCTCTCTCTCCTTCTCTCTCTGCCCCTCTCCCACTCAGGTGCATGCTCCCTCTCTCTCTTGATTCCTCTCTCAAAAAATTACAACATATCAAATTTGTGGGACACAGTTAAAGGAATTATGATAAGGAATAGTATAGCACTGAATGAAAAGAGAAAGAGACTCAAGTCAATAATCTAAGCTTCCCCATCAGGAATATAGAAAACAAAGTGCAAAATAAACTCAAAACAAACAGAAAGACAGAAATAATAAAGGTAAGATCAGGAATCAATTAAATTGAAGACAGAAGAAGAAGAGAAGAAATTAATGAAACAAAGAGCTGGTTCTTTGAAAAGATCAATAAAATTGACAAAAATTCTAGCAAGACTGACAAAGGGGAAAAGAAGAGAGTGCAATATGGCAAGAAAATGAAATAAAAGACATTGAGAACAGAAAGGAAGAAATAAAACTGTCCCGCTTGCAGATGATATGGTTGTCTATGCAGAAAATCCCAAGGCATCTTCAAAAATCTCCTAGAACTAATAAATGCAAGATCACACAGTACAAAAACAGAACAAAATCCCCATACCCAAACCATTTATTTCTTTATACTAGCAATGAACATATGGACTCTGAAGTTAAAATAAAAAAGTATTTATAATAAAAGAAAATGGAATACTTAAAATAAATCTAACAAAACATTTATATGACTTGTGTGCTGAGAACTATACACTGCTGATTAAAGAAATAAAAGAAGCTATATGTAGAGGAACATACTGTGTGTATGGATAGGAATATTTGAAGATGTCGATTTTCCTCAAACTGATATCCAGATTTAATGCCATTTCTACCAACCCCCCCAAGACTTTTTAGACACAGACAAAATGATTCTAAAATGTATATGCGAAGGCTGATGAATTAGAAGAGCTAAGATAATTTGAAAAGGAAGAAGAGAGAGAGAGGAATCACTCTAGCAGGTTTCGAGGGTGATTTATACAGTACAATAATCAAGACTATTTGGTATTGGTGGAGGAATAGACATGCAGATCAATGGAACAGAGCAGAGAATCCAGCAATAGCTCCACACAAATATAAACAATTGATTTTTGACAGAAGTGCAAAAACAACTCAGTGGAGGAAAGATAGCATGTTCATCAAAGGGTGCTGGAGCGGGGCACCTGAGTGACTCAGTCGGTTAAGCAACTTACTTCGGCTCAGGTCATGATCTCATGGTTCGTAAGTTTGAGTTCCGCGTTGGGCTCTGTGCTGACAGCTTAGAGTCTGGAGTCTGCTTCAGATTCTGTGTCTCCCTCGCTCTCTGTCCCTCCTCATTCTCTGTCTCTCTCTATCTCTCAGAAATAAATGTTAAAAAATTTTAAATGAAAAAAAGAAAAAGGGTGCTGGAGCCACAGGACATCTGCATGCAAAAAAAGAACCTCAACTTAAATCTCAGGCCTTATAAAAAATTCAACACAAAATGGACCACAAACTTTAATGTAAAACCTAAAACTATACAGCTTTTATTAAAAAAAAAAAAAGAAAGAAAATCTTTGGGATTTTGAATTAGGCAAAGACTTCTTAGACTTGACACTAAAATCACAATCCATCTAAGAAAAAAAAGTCGATAAATTGGACTCCATTAAAATGTAAAACTTTTGGGGTGCCTGGGTGGCTCAGTCAGTTGAGCATCCGACTTCGGCTCAGGTCATGATCTCCCGGTTCATGGGTTCGAGCCCCATGTCAGGCTCTGTGCTGACAGCTCGGAGCCTGGAGCCTGCTTCGGATTCTGCATCTCCCTCTCTCTCTGCCCCTCCCCCACTCGCATTCTGTCTCCATCTCTCAAAAATAAATAAACATTAAAAAAATTAAAAAAAGGGGCGCCTGGGTGGCTCAGTCGGTTGAGTGTCCGACTTTGGCTTAGGTCATGATCTCGCGGTCTGTGAGTTCAAGCCCCGCGTCGAGCTCTGTGCTGACAGCTCAGAGCCTGGAGCCTGCTTTGGATTCTGCGTCTCCCTCTCTCTCTGCCCCTCCCCTGTTCATGCTCTGTCTCTCTCTGTCTCAAAAATAAATAAATGTTAAAAAAATAAATAAATAAAATAAATAAAAATTAAAAAAAACAAATAAAATGTAAAACTTTTAGTTTGGAAAAGACCTTGTTAAGAAGATGAAAAGAAAAGCTAAAGTAGGAAAAAATTTGCTAACTACTTTCTGTCCAAGGACTAGTATTTAGAATATATAAAGAATGATCAAAGTTCAACAGTAGAAAAAAAACCAGTCTAATTAGAAAATGAAAAGAATATAAAAATAGCAAATAATCATATGAAAACATGTTTAACTTCATTAGACATTATGGAAATGCAAATTAAGCACATCAATCAGAATGGCTAAAATAAAAAATAGTGACAACACCAAATGTTGGCAAGGATGAGGAAGAAGTGGATCACCCATACGCTGCTGGTGAGAATGTATAATGGTGCAGCTGCTCCGGAAAACAGTTTGGCAGTTTCTTAAAAAATGAAATGTACAACCACCGTATGCCAAGCAATTGAACTTCTGAATGTTTATCACGAGAAATGAAAATGTGTTCACTGAAAAACCTGTTCATATTATTCTAAATTTTTTTTTCAACGTTTATTTATTTTGGGGACAGAGAGAGACAGAGCATGAACGGGGGAGGGGCAGAGAGAGAGGGAGACACAGAATCGGAAACAGGCTCCAGGCTCTGAGCCTGAATCAGCCCAGAGCCTGACGCGGGGCTCGAACTCACGGACCGCGAGATCGTGACCTGGCTGAAGTCGGACGCTTAACCGACTGCGCCACCCAGGCGCCCCCATATTTTTCATATAGGCCACAGACTAGAAACAGCCCAGATGTGCTTTGATGAGTGAATGGTTAAACTCTGCACATTCATACCATGGAACATTACTTAGCGCCAAAAAGGATTAGAGTATTAGTGCACACCATGACCTGGATGAATCTTCAGAGAAGTATGCCGGGGGAACGAAAATCCAATCTCACAAGGTTGCATAGTGTATCATTTCTTTTATAATAATGTTCTTGAGGTGACAAAACTATAGAAATGACGAGCAGATCAGTGGTTTCCAGGAATCAAAAAGGGATGTGATGAGTGGAGATGGGATGGGAGAGAATTGGGCGTAGTTATAAAAGGGCCACATGGGAGATCTTTGTGGTGATGGCAACGTTCTACGTCTTGACTGGATCAATGGCAATACGGTGGTTGAGATCTTGTACTATAGTTTCACAGCATATTACCGTTGAGAGAAAGTTCAAGGGGCACATGGGCCTCTGTATTACTTCTTACACCCACATGTGATTCTACAATTATCTTAAAATAATGAGAAAAGAAAGAGGAACATTTACAGGACAGTTGGGGAATTATGAACGACGACTGGATTTTGTAACGTGATGGTGGCATTGTGTTTTAGTTTTAAGAGATTAGTCTACTCTTACAAGACTCGTACTGAAATATCTACCAACAAAACGATGTGTCTGGGACTTGCTTCAGAGGAATCCAGAGTGAGGGACAAGCAGGTGAGAGTCTCCTGGGAAAGCGAAAAAGCACGACTAGATCATCGGCTGGAGCTGGGTGAGAGGTGCAGGGGGTTTCTTCACATCATACGTTATACGCAGTCACCCAGCACGGAGCTGTGGTTGCCGGCACAACATGGTCGTGAAGCCACTGCCTTCAGAGAGAGTCGGACCTGGTTTGAACCTTGGCTCTGCTACATATGAGGCAAGTCTGGGGCAAGTTATTTAACCTGTCTGTAAAGTGTGACGGTATCTCAGGGTAATCGTGCAGACAGGAGATTGCCAAAGAGGAGCACAGGGAGAGAAAAGGAGAGGTCTTCTCTCCAGGGGTGGGAGAGGGAGAGGAGCCAGTGCAGGAGACGGAGGAGCCATTCGAGGTGGGGACCCAAGGTTAGGCCGGGCAGGGTCTTGGAACCCAAAAACAAAAAAGATCCCCGAAAGAGCTTTACGAAGATGAAAACCGGTGAGAAGCCATCAGCTTCGGTGTTCAGCAAGTCACTGGCGCTGACAGAGGCTTGGGCTCAGTGGCCAGGTGGGCCCAGATGAAGGTGCTGAGAAGTGAGTGGGGTCAGAGGGCGTGGCCACTACTCCTGACCTTGATGGGATGGCGTGGAGGGACAGCTCCAGAGGCAAGGAGTGTTAGGGGGGCTAAAGGGCAGAAACCAACCGGAGAAGAGAAAGACATGGGGAGTAAGAAAGGAGGGGCTGACCAGGGGTCCCGCCGGGCGAGGCACCAGGAGTTCCAAGATCATGGCAGGAAGGAGGTTCCTCTCCGATGCAGACTGGGGTTGTCAGTTACCAAGGTGGTTTTGTCTGCCCCTGGCATTTCCCCCTCGCCCTTCATCTGATCCTCATTTGAACAGCTATTTACAAAGGAAGAATATTACGGGACGTCGGGAGTTACGCGTGCTCACCAGGTTTTTTAATTTGATGGTAGAGTTGTAGTTTTGTTTTACAAGGTAGTCCTGGTCTTTATAGATTAATACTGAGATAGGTGTGGATGAAATGGTATGTGTGGAGTTTGCTCTGGACTCCGAAGAAAATGAGACTATTCCGTTTTTCTGGAGGGAGGTCTTAGAATCGCGGCGCCACGTCAAGCCCTTGTGCACGCTTCTTGCCCGTCAGGTTTCCTCGCGCGGAACCTACCGTGCTGCTCCCGTCCCTTCACGCGGAGGCCGCACGTGCGTGTCCGTGTTTCCACGCTCGAGTGACCGGACCGTGGCCGGCTGACTCGCCAGCACCCACGCTACCGGCAGCCGCGTTCGGTCTGGGGATCCCCGACGAGAAAGGCGTCCTGGCCTGCGGGCGCTCATCTCGGTCACGCGCACCGAGGGCGCCGGTGACGAGCGAGTCCTCTGAGGCGAGCCTCGTCTCCCGGCCGCTGCCCGCTTCCTCACCCTCCGCTCTGCCCGGGCTGCCCCGAGCCGGGGTGGGGCGTTTCGCGCGTCCTGACGCGGCCGAGGCCCGGTGGGCCGCTGACCGCGGCTCGGCTCGTTCGACAGAGGCCGCGAGAGTCCGCCTCGGCCTCTCGGGCGCCCCCACCCGCGCAACCGGCGGCCGACGCGTCCTCGCGCGAGGCGGCTGCGCGGACGCCGGACGAACAGAAACCCGTCACGCGAGCGAAAGGTAAGCCACGGGCTGATCTTTATTGAGGCGAGCGCTCTGCTTTCGGCCGTTCGCCACGGCCGCACATCGGCCAGTTTCCAGAAGCGCCCCGCTTCCCCGTACAGCTCTGTCTACATTCGGAAAGCGATAAAAACGTGTTGTACGATGACCAATGTCCACCTTAAGAGTATCACGACAGCTCGTCCATTTGTCAGCAGACCACACAACACGCTACTTACAACAAGGCGGACTCTCCACAAGTTCGAAATTTAGATCGTGTGGCACCATCCTAACGCTAGCATCGTGTTTTTCCAGGTAAGAGAGACCAGTCATTATAAAAATACTGTATATGAATTCAGAGTCAGAACTAAAACCTCCAATCCTATAAAAATACCTTTTACTAATCAAAGTATCAATTTCTAGATAAATGTTCTTTACCAACAACAGTTGCACAATTTTCGGGACAGTCCATTTAAACGTGTTAAGGTTACTTCAAGGCACAGTGGCAATCGTGTCTTAGTTTTCAGAGACGGACCACATACTCGACTACGTTGCGTACTACTGCACCAATTATTCTAGAAAAAGTTAACGCAAGTGTCTATGGATTATGAAAGCCATTTATAAAGACAAAGTCTTCAGTCTATAGAGGGGATTTTTAGGTGGGCGTTGCCTTCAGGAGAAGACACCACTTTTGTTACGAGTCGGCTACACCGTGCTTTGAAATGTTTAGCTTGGAAAGCCTGTGATCGCATTCTGACCACTATCTGAAATCAGCTCGTTCATTTCGTTTTGCTTACTCTCTTTTAGGGCATGATTGGGGTGATTTCTCTGTGTCTGTGCTCTTTTTGATCTCCTAAAACACACTTTCAGGAGCAGGTAACACAGCTCGGCCACGTTAAGCAGCATGCAAATCACAGATGCGGAAATCATAAAAATGGTGAACACGGTTTTCTCAGTGGGTCTCGAGATAAAGCAGTCGACAAGGTTGGGGCAAGGGTCAATCCCACATTTCAACACCCAGGGCAGGTGGTACCCGTTGTAAAGGAAGTAAAAGACGTACATAAAGGATGCTTCGAAGATGATGCGGAAGAAGATGCTGCTGGTGTACGTCCACCACAGGGACCCCTCTATCCGGACCTTCTGCTTTTTAATGTCTTCGAGGTCTTTGAATTCATTTCGCTTGTCTCCTCGCCTGAATTTGCGGGCGGCCTCGTGCCTGTAGTAGGCCACGTGCATCGCTACCAGCAGGGCCGGGGTGGACACGAAGATGAGCTGCAGGGCCCACAGCCGGATGTGGGACACAGGGAAAAAGTGGTCATAGCACACATTTTTGCACCCTGGCTGCAGCGTGTTGCAGACAAAATCTTCCTGCTCGTCACCCCACACCTCTTGAGCGGCGACCACGAGGATCATGACGCGAAAAATGAAGATGACGGTGATCCACACCTTCCCGATGCTGGTGGAGTGTTTGTTTACACCCCCGATGAACGTGTGCAGGGTACCCCAGTCCATTGTGTTGGCTTATTCCTAAACAGAAAACATTAGCAAAGGTTAACTAATGGAAAGCTCCTTCGAGTTTTATGAAATAGTACGGTTATATTACAGACGGAAGCAAATTTCCCTAAGAGGATGCTGTGATATTTTATAACTTCAACCCCCTAGGTTAGTAGGTTTTCTGATAAGGAATGCCCACTCTAAAAGCATTCTAACATCTTGAATCAGAAATAACTGTTACGGGTTTCAGATCATCCAGATTCCACTAAATTCAGATTATATATTAGGTTGCTGTTGGACGTTAACCCAGGAACTCAGGTAAGCAAATACATTTCCAAGTTTTCTCTTATCCACCATGAGTTTAAGTATTGTATCAGTTTTCGTTTTGCCCAGGGGATCACGGAAGTTCAACAGTGGATCTTACTAAGTGGCTTATTGGAGAGAAAAAAAATTAATCATGGGAATGACCTACAGTGGTGTACCTGGCAGACTCGGAAGGGGGAAGGGACCCCCAATACTTGTTGGCTTACTTTATACAATATATTTATGGCCGTCTCTAGTTTGAATAGCATCGTTTGCCGAAATCTTGTGTTCTTAGGGGCCCTGACGTCACACGCCACTGGAAGGTCCTCTTCCAAGAGTATCATGAGCTTTTACAAAGAGCGCTCACTTGTTTCCATGGTAACCAGGACTGGTGACAGCGCTCCCTCCCCGACAGCTCAAGCCCCAGGAGCCATGGGTGAAGGGAACCGGTGGCTGCTGTCAGGTAGGGCTCCCCTCCCTGCTGACTGAGCACTGACTGAGCGTGCTGAGAGAAAACGCTCTTGACTTCCACAGGAACTTCTGCTACAGTTCACACGGATATGCCCTCTGACCCCACATTGCTGCAGAAGACGAGAGAATGAATCAGCGTTTGCCGTAAACGAAACACCACCACTCTGGCAATCTTTTGAAAGAAGTCCCTGTTTTCAGAGAAGCAGACTCACACAGCTTGTCAAACCTTTTTAGGGGCTGAGGGCGACACCAAAGTCCTTTTGTCATTGGTCTTAGGGAGACCTTCCTGTATCTGACTGCGGGCTGGGGTCAGGCCTCTCCTCAGGCTGACCCCCCGACCTCCTGGGCCCCTCCTCTGGCCCACAGCTCTGCCTCCCCTGAGTCACGTGTGCTGCTCTTCGAAGCAGCTAGGTAGCGGGAGGCAGCCTCAGCGTCCCCAGGAGGGCTAGGCACTGACGTGTGCCCCAGAAGCAAGACCCTTCGTTGACACTAATGAAGTCAGCCAGCTCTGTAGTATAAAAGGCAGACCTCCATTTTAGCTGGCTTTCTGGGAAATTTGTCTTTGCCCTTGGTTTGGCTTTTAGACACTACCTTTTCCTCAGAAGGACACAAGGCCCAAGGAAATAATGCCACCACACACCTTGCACACGTGTATGTATTCCTCCTGTCTGAACTGGGCAGGGGAAGTAGGGGGCACATGCTGTGGAGGTGGAGGGGAGTGGAGGGCAAGCAGGGGCATAGCTAGAAGTTTCTGTACCGTGAGTTTCTCCCCCGCCTTCTCTTGCTGAAGCATACAGAGCCCAATTATAGGAAAACCCCTCCTCGCACCGCATCGCCAAAGCCAAGTAAATAACGATCCCCAGGCCTACCATAAGCATTTATTGAGTGTCTATTGTATGTAGATGTCAGCCATTTCACCTTTGCATCTCAAGACATAGTCCAGTTCCCAGGGCTGAGTAGGCTCTGAACAGAGATGCAGAGCAGGTGGGGGATGTCGGGGCGTCAGGGCTAGAGGCGCTGGGAAGAGCTTCCAGACAGAGATGCGTTCCTATCCCACGAAGTTTAAGGCGTTAGATCACAACTAGGTAAGCTGGGAGCACAGAGCATCTCAAAGAGAAAGCAATAGGGAGGAGACCATGAGGCGGCCCTTCAGCACCTGCACTTGCACTTGATTGACAAGTCACCTGAAGGCAGGATAATTAAAGTGATCACAGAATCTCACAAGATGCTTATTCTTTCCTCGAATAATCCAGAAGAAGGAGTTAAAAACCAGCACTTAACAAGCCAGCACCCTCAGACTACTCAGGACTCCCAGACCCTGCAGGCAGGCGCCAAGGCGAAGGAGGTGGAGCTGGGAATAAGAAAGCTGAAAAATCATTCTGGAGGATTCAGTGCGTATTGGCCCATTCCAACTCCACTGGCCAAAAAGCAGTAAAGAACCTCAAGATGTCTGTAGTTGTTCAAATGACATGGGAGTCTTTTGAAAGTTCTAACACAGAATACAAGAACATTTGAAGTCTTGAATCCAAACTAAAGCTTCCATTGTGGCCCAGATAGGAAAACTCAAATCGTGGTTTTAACTTAGCCTAGACTTTGAGAAGCATATTAATTTTTCAATGAAAATGAAAAGGGAGGTAGAATTCCATAGCTGAGGACTTGGAAGGCAGAGCTGGGGGGGCAAGGGCTCAAAAGTGTGTCTGACAATTCTGGGGGGGGGGGGGGTGGACACTGCCAGTAGCTCTGAGGAGCTCAGATCTTCAACTGACAAGATGATGGAAGACAACACAATGGAGGGGCCCAGGCTTGTAACAACAGTGTCAAAAAATTTAATTACTGAATGAGGCAAAAAAAATAAATAAATAAAATAAGATAAAATAAAATAAAATTTTAAAAAAACATGAAAAAGAAAGAAAAATATGATAAACTTGGGTCAAAAGAAAAGAAAGGGGTGGGCCCAATGCTTGGAGCAGATGGTATAATTTGAACTGATAGCAGATAAAAGGCAGAAACTCTTATTTTACTCTCCCTTCTTTATCAAAGAGAAATTATTTTAAAATTATTTCTTTTTTAATGTTTACTTATTTTTGAGAGAGAGAGAAGGGGGGGAGGAAGGGCAGAGAGAGAGAGGGAGAGACAGAGTCCGAAGCAGGCTCCAGGCTCCAAGCTATCTGCACACAGCCAGACTTGGGGCTCAAACTCACAAACCATGAGATCATGACCTGAGGTGAAGTTGACCCTTAACCAACTGAGGCACCCAGATGCCCCTAAAAATTATTTCTAACGTAGTATAAGAGAGGTGGGGAGCTAGTGTGTACTTTCTGAGAAAGAGATTTTCAATGTCCCCAGTACATGTATCTTCGATGTTAAAAACTCACCTTGGGTAATACAAACTATAAAATTAAGTTTTAGTCCCTACTGAAAGTCATTATAATAAATTTTCCTAATTGTTGCTCTTTTATCCTGGAAGCATTTCAGGAGGTAGAGACTCGTACAACCTGATGTTTACACATATGTTACAGCAGCTGTTCACCCAGGGGGTCACTCTGGTTTGTTTATGAAATGAAGATGTTCTGTAACCAATGAACATCTCCCATTGCAATTTGGTTTAATTCAGTGCACATTCAACAAGTTTTTGATTTATCAAATAAAAGTTCACATTTTCCCAAACCCTCCAAAGTACAGAGAATTTAAACTCTTCCAAAGGTAAGAAGGCTGTGTTTTCCCTCTGAGTTCTTTATCAACCGCCTTCTTGAACAATGACACGCCTGTGGTCACCTATTACCTGCTCTTCTAGCAAGCAAACTGATCAGGGGTCAAAGGACAACTCAGTCCGAAGGAATCTGGAAAGGCTGAAGTCATTGGAGGTGTCAAGAGGCTTTCCCCACAAGAATATGGTCCCAGCTTTCTAGAAGCAGGACCCTTGACATCTGCACCTTAGGTCTTCTTCTTCTTTTTTTAAAAAAAATTTTTTTTTCCAACGTTTATTTATTTTTGGGACAGAGAGAGACAGAGCATGAACGGGGGAGGGGCAGAGAGAGAGGGAGACACAGAATCGGAAACAGGCTCCAGGCTCTGAGCCATCAGCCCAGAGCCTGACGCGGGGCTCGAACTCCCGGACCGCGAGATCGTGACCTGGCTGAAGTCGGACGCTTAACCGACTGCACCACCCAGGCGCCCCAGGTCTTCTTCTTCTTAAAAAGCAAAACCAAACCAAACAAAAAAAAAAAAAACAGGGACAATTATGATAACAGTTTTATATCTTTTGGCTTTTCTGGGTGCCCAAATCACACATTCTGAAGCTCTATCAAAGTAGCAAAGCTGAACAGAGAATAATCTATTTTACAATACTTTTGACTTCCACTAAAAATCAGCAATTTACCTGTGCCTTTAAAGGGAGAAAAAGAGATGCCTAGGGCACTAAGAAACATGACTGATTAAACCCAAATACGGGTGTGTCCTGCCTACCGGTCACTCAAGACGATCAGGCTAATGGCAAACCACCTGATCTGTAGCATCTTCCTGCAGGAGCAACAGAGGCCCTATCACTGATCACAGTAGAAATGGCTCGACAGCAAGCACTGCTTTCCATAGTCTCCGTCCATAGTCTCCGTCCGTAGTCTCCGTCGCTCCCTTGCCCTAAGTGCGCAGCAGGAAAGCCATTGAGCGAATTGGCCCATGTTTCCTACACTGAGAACTTTCTTTGGTCCAGTCCACATCATTTCCTCAGGGCCTCACCAAGGAAGCCGGGGGCAGGGGTCCGGCATATCACTCTCTGAGTGTTGAGAACCTAAGGACAGCCTGCCTCACAACTAGGAGGAGCCAGTCAGGGAAAGGGACCGCCCCAAACTTCCTGATGCTTTGCTGCAGCCACTGGTAACGCCTGGCTGCCCCAGGACACTTCGCCCACTCAAGGAGCCCAGGAGAGGAAGGAGCGGACAGAGGGCAGAAGACTCAGCAAGGCTGAAAGGAGGACATTTGGTTCCACTTGCTCCTCCTGACCTGGCCTTTCAGTGGGTTAAAGCCACTTCTGGCTTGGGGCGAAGAGACTGCCCACGGCCCGATCCCCCTCTGTGTCTGCCCTATAAAAATGTAACTCTTGGGGTAGTTTTCCATCAGCACTGTGGTTGCAGATTTGATGGCCGAACACTCTGTGAAAATTACTTTCCAAAACAACCGCATCCATTGAAACCCTTTGCAATTGGTGTCGGTAAACAAAATACCTCTTTCCTTTCATGCTTTAGGCAGGCTGCAGCCAATGGGAGGAGACTCTTCAACAAAAAGTAGAATATTAACTCTTTCTTTGCCAACCAGAGAGGTTTATTTTAAACCAGCTTCTCTGGCTCTCTTTTAAGGAAATAATACATATGCCTAGCTCCCGTAGTCTTGTCTCCGTACAAGAATGTGGTTACACCTCAAGTTACAAAGGTAAAACTGTCTTTGGTTTCCTAGTATATCTAATCGTGGTGAAAACATTGCATTCTTGATACGAAAGCTCCAGGCTGGAATACTTTGCTCTAAGAATAGGTAAACAATTGATCTCATTCTGATGACACACACAGTATTCTGAAGTTGGATTGTTCTTCCCTTTTACAATTCAAATAATTTAAGTCTATGGGCATTCTGCTTCAGCAATATGATTTTCTGATTGTTTTAAAACTTAAAAATTTCATCCTAAGTAGTTGGCTTAAAAATGCCATCTTAAGTTTCACTGATGACAGAACGAAAACGAAAACTTTCCAATTATAGTGTTACCCCTTAGCAGACACCAGTGAGATTTCCAAGAGGTGGAAGTCATCTTTCTAGAAAGTTCTATTCCCATTTGGATAACCCTTTCAAAGATATTCATTGAATATCTGATAGGCCTGAGAACAGAGCACATCCCTCCCGATTTCCACAGTAGCTTTAGGTAGTTGAGATTTATATTGATGAAAGACAATGTCAGAGCGAAACAAGCACATCTGAGCCTTACTTTCAAGGAGTCACAGGGTATTGGCCTGGAGGAGAATTAGGGCAAGGGTCCCTCTTCAAGGGTTCAGGCTTTCTTCTACACCATCTGATTGCTTAGAAGGCAACAGGGCACAGTAACGACATGAATATAAATCTCTACGCAGTTTCTGGAGGTCAGTGAGGGTGTCACCTGTTGAGGGAAAAATAGTAGATGTGGCCATAGTCATTGAACTACTCCCCACGTGTCTATTGCATGACCTTTGTGGGTGTTTTTCTTTATCCCCAGAACTGTTATGAGGGAGTCTAGAGGCTGCCAGTTTCATGATGCCTCTTACTTTATATACCAATAAAATAAAACTAAACAACTAAAATCTTTAATGTAGATTCTTTTCCCTATCAAAGATCATAATTGTGATCCCCAATCCCAAACCTCGAGCCCATTCCTTAAAAAAGGGGGTAAGGGAATTTGAAAAACTGGATATGCTGTTTTCTCCCTCAAATCGGCAGTCTAAAAAAAATCTCAAACTCTTTAATCAAGAAGAATCTATATCTGTTGTCTCTCAACAGATATCCAGGTCTTCCTGGGGACAACCTTAGGTTGTCCTTTAAATGTAATGACTTAAAATGTCATCAACTGTTCTTTCAGAGTAACAGGTTGTGTTAAAATGGATTTAGGGTTTATGTACTTGTTCAAAATTAACTCAATAAAAATGAAAGAACTTTTTCTATCCACGTAGTCTAAATAGAAGCATGGACAATTCATAGAATTATACGTATTTCTTAATCCATTTAAGAATTCAGTGAGTTGGGGCTCCTGGGTGGCTCAGTCGGTTAAGTGTCCAACTTCGGCCCAGGTCACGATCTCGCCGTTCCCAACTTCGAGTCCTGTGTTGGGCTTTGTGCTGACATCTCAGAGCCTGGAGCTTGCTTTGGATTCTGTGTCTCCCATTCTCTCTGCCCCTCCCCTGCTTGTGCTCTGTCCCTCTCTCTCTCTCTCAAAAATAAATACTTTTTAAAAAAGAAAAGAATTCAAAGAGTTAAATTTTCCATTAAGCAGTCTCTGTTCATTCAAGCAAACCTGTGCCCTTTCCAAAGATTTAAGTCTACCTTGAGTTGAATGCCCATGAAAATAAAAAAGGAAAAGGCACTCTGTGGGCCCATACATTCTCACAGCTCAAGCAAGTTAAACAGAAATCTTAATATATCTTAACGTAGCCATCGGGAGGATTATGTCCTCATGGCCAAGACACGTGCGTTGAAAATTATTTTCCCACCATTTTATTCTGTTTAACATTTTAACTAATGTCTACAGACTACTCATAGCTCCTGGAATATTCAGATTGGATCAAAGATGCACAGTGAGGGTTTGCAAGCAAGAATTTTCTGTTCACCCCATTGAAGTGCTTAGTCAGACCTTCCGCAGGTCTTTTCTTTCTCAAAGCTGTTGTAATTCAGGAAAGTAAGAAAAAGCAAATGAATTCGCTGTTACCTGTACCGGGGTTTGTTTTAAAATAAAAACACCAGTGGAACAGCGGGACTGATCAGCATCTTCCCAGTTTGGGTCTCTGCCGGGCAGGGATGGGGAGCCCTGCACCCCCTCCGCTCCCCCACCCCAGTTACGTCACAGGCTAGGGAGTGTTGATGTTTTCTCCTCGCGACTTCCTTCTCCCGTCCTTGGCAGGATCCAGACATCACCCCCAAAGCCTCAGCCTGGTCCAAGCCGCAGACAAAGCTCTCCACAGGAGCAGTTTGAGCGGCATCCCGCAATTCTAAGGAAACTGCATCCGGGCAGGACATTTTCTTCTAGAACACTGGTTAGATTCGACTAGAACTGGAGCAAGAAAATACTTCTGTGGCATAATGTCTACTGAGGGGAAAGAACAATGATGCACGGTAACGTTCAATCAGGCCCTAAACTGACGGGGAGATTCCACCTGGGCGACGCCAAGGTGGCTGCTGGGCCAGGTGTCCCTGACTGCATTCGGGCCACACTCACCTCAGCTCAGTCCCGCTCCCCCGTCAAACACAGGCTACAGGTAACGCCTGGGACTGGTCCTTCACCACACAGGAAGTCCCTTCTGGTGCCTCCACCTTTCAACTGAGATGTGTCACCAATGACACTTGATTACTGTTGTCCACTAATTGTCCAGTAATTGCACCCCTGTCATCTGCGTTTCCCAAGTTCTTTGGGCGCGCATCACACAGCCAAAGGGGTCACTTCTACCTGGGACCTATCCACTAGCCCGGTTGAACCGGCCTTCCTTTGCCCCAAGCAGGGACGTTCCAAGCAGGGTTCATCGGTGTTCGGTGAAAGCAAAGAAAATCCAAAACGCGGCAAAGCAAGTGGGGGAAAGGGGCCCAGGTCCGCACCTTGGCCGCTTATGCACACGGTTGGTGTATTTATAAAACCTGTTGTGCAAGTCGAAGGGGGACCATCCAGGGTAAAAGTCAGACCCGTCCATCCTCGTTCCTCCGGGCGCGCGGAGGACGCCAGGCGCTGCGGGGCGGCATCCGGCCGTGGCCCCGGGGGTCGCGGGAGGATGCGGATCCCCGGCCGATAAGGTTGCCCCGGGCAACCCCAACGCGCCGACCCCCACCCCCGCCGCCGCCCGGCGCCGGGAGGGCGACTGCGCCCTGCGGCCGGCCACAGGGCCCACCTTGGAGCGCTCGCCAACAAGGGCGACAGAGGCGACGGGCTGCAGACCTCACCCGCGCGGGGCCCTCGGAGGCAACGCCTGCGCGCCAAGGGCCGAGAGGGCGCCCCCCGTCGCCACCCCCCCCCCACCCCCCACCCCGGTCCCCCAGCCCGCAGCCAACA